TGTGGTGGAGAAAAGAAGTCGAATGTCTTCTCCAACGCTATAGGATTTGGACTCTTTCCCCCAAGGAAGTCCCCCTGGTACATACTGTCTTCTTCCTACACCGACCATACTTGCTCAACTCACAGACACAGGGACTTTACACTCAACATGAGGTATACACCTGGCACACTGGGTTGAACTACCCCCAGTCACTCAAATATATCACAGATCATCTTGGCAAAGTTCTGTGTAGAGAGAATGGGCACCAGCCAAATCCTCCATTGCAACCCAACATCAGCTCTGCAATAGCTCCACCTCCCCAAAATATTTTACAAGATAAGGATCCGTGACTTTGTATAGATAGTCGGATGCCTTAAAGATAAGGAGGGGGCCCATTACAGAGAGATGGTGCCTGTGTCTGTGGATGAGTCTGAATCAGTTTCCTGGAGACAATCACGTGTGAGCCCTTGATTAGGATCTTGTGATGATTCATTGTATGGGTCTAAGTTTGATCTCAAAGGAGCTTTTTGGCAATTGGGAATTTTCCCGGAAGATAGGCCCAAGACAGCCTTTTGTATTCCAGATGCACAGCACCAATGGCATGTTCTACCATTTGGCCTCAAGATGGCCCCGTCCCTGTTCCAACGAACGATGGCCCAAATCTTTGAGCCCATTTTGTACAATGTCTTAGTCTACATAGACGATATCCTTCTGTTCTCAAAGGATGAAGAAGGCCTTCTCTTTGGTTTGGCAGAAGTCCTCCAACCAAGAGAACTTTGTACACAGTTTGCTCAGTAATCGAATATGAGTTTCTAAATCATCTCTCTTTCTATCTGAAATTCTGAGTTCCCTCGCTTATGTTATGATCTTCATCCCCCTAACTAGTATGCTCTATGCTTGCCCCTAGTAGAGGATCTTGCATATCATAACGTTTACGCTTAAGATTCGTGCTACGATCTCCATAACCATGAGTAATGAGCACCTATAACACTTAAGGCTAGGAATTTGTCATCCTTCAGGAACAAGTTCAGAGGCTTGTAATATACGAAACAAACGATTTTGATATAAAGAGTATGCAACCTCAATTTAATTCTGAAACTTACCTATGCAGTCTAAAAACACCTTGCGCGTGCCACTCATTGTGTACGAACCTAACCTAATGTAATTCAATCTCACTGAATCTGACCTTTTTTGCGTTACGCATTCAACCGAACAAAAAAAAAAAAACTATAATAACAATAACAACTACTAAAAAAAATTAAGAAAAAAACAATAAGTTAATAGAGTACGAAAAGGTTTGCGTGCTACGGGCTTATTTATACTCCTTTAACGATAATATTTCTTTTATTGCAACATCCGATTATGTTTTAAAAAAATTATAACTGGAGCATAAACATTTTTAAACTACCAAAAATGTCTCTCTTAGGGTTGTTCTTTTGGAGTGTAACTTAAGTGTAGTTTTTGAGTTGAATTTGAGTTATAACTTGAGTTGAAGTTGTAACTTGAATAAAGTCGCGTAAAGTTGAATAAAGTTGAAACTTAAAAGAACGTGAACTTGAAAAAATTGGAACTCGAGTTGTCTTTTTTTAAGTTTTTTAGACAAAAGAACATGCCCTCATTTTATCTTTATTTAGACATTCAAAATGAGGGTAAATAGTTCTAACATACTTATAAATTTTTATGCCAAAAAAATAATTATTTTGTTTCTTTGTTTCTTTATTTTTGTTTAAAATTTTTCAAAAATTGGCACTTCAAAAGTCAATGTGAAATCATTATTGTCCACTTTATTCAATATTACCCATTTTTGTTTACTGTTGTTTAATTTAGATGTATTTTAATAAAGGCACAGTTTTAATTAACAATGTTAATAAATATCAATATTATAAAAGGGTAATTTTAAACTTTTCTCTTTTTATTTTTATTCTCAAAAATCTAAAATCAAAAACAAATATCTTATTAAATTTACAAAACACAACTCCCTTTTTTTGTGTATTTTAACGACCTAGCCCTCTGATTTATAAAATCCCAAAAAAAAACACGATTTCAAAAAGTTTAAAATACTTTTATGACCTCAAATGATATTTCAAACGATACTTTTTATTTATTTATCCATTTTAGACAAATTTTATAAATTCTCCTTGAACTTTATCATTTGTGTCAACATGCATCTTAAACTTTAAAATGTACATCTCGTGTTCTCTGAACTTTGTTACTTGTGTCAACATGCCTCTGAGGTTAACTCTGAAA